GGGGAGGCAAAAAAATGTTAAAGGTATAATGAAAAAAAGATTTATACAGTAAAATTTGCAGTTGAAAAGTTTTCTTCGTTATGTTTATTTACTTTTTGAGTTGCTGATCAACTCTTAAGGATTTTTTCATTTGCCGAAAAGAAGTTTTTCATCTGTTTTTTTTTTTTTTTTTTTTTAAACAAACTCCTGTTACAGTTTTTTTGTTGCAATTAGCTTTTCTTTTTACATTTCTGTAAATGGTAAGTTTTTTCAGTTATTAAATCTGCTGTTTATTTAACAAGACATTTCTTAGTGTCTTTTTTTAAATAATTTGAATAACCGTAGAATTATTTGGCTTTCTTCTATGAGGAGTCTTAAATTTTACCCAATCAACAGATTTTCCTTTAATTTTCAAATCAACCCGTTAGTTTTTGATTTGTTTTTTTGCCTTTTGTTTTGTTTTGCTTCTTTTGTTCGTCAAATTCTACTATCTTTCCACTTGTATTGGGCATTTAGGCGTTGCGAAGCCTTTGAAAACTTGTACTCTGTTTAGTTTTAGTTTTGCTTCAAAGCGCCAAAATTCTAGACGATTGGTTAGTAAGTATGACCAGGTTTTTACTACTTTCCATTTTAGCAGTCTCTGGGTTCTGTGGATCCGTTATGCCAGGTGAAGATTACGGTGGTGCCATGGCAACGAATGCTCCAGACTACTACCAACAACCCGGATTTGGGAACGGTGCTAACGCTGTAGGTTTTGTGTAAACATTGTCTTAAGCATAACTGGTTTCTTTTTTTTTTAAATCTATTTTTGGACTAATAATAAATTGTAGTATCAGAGGGGACCGGGTGGTCCATATCCTCCTGGACCAGCTCCATTTGGAGGTGCTGGGTATGATTCCGGTTATGGCGGTATGCCAGGTTTTCCAGGAGGTTTTCCTGGAGGATATGCAGGGGGCTATGGCGGTGATACACAAAGTCCATTAGATGCTGAAATCCAGGTTCTGTACCAAATAAAAAAAAAAAGTTTGTCTGTAACTTTGATGTAAGTTGTCAGTTCTATTTGGGTTTAGAAAGCAATGTCTTTAAAGGTAGTAATACGGGAAATTCATAACGAACAACAGTTGATGGAACAAGCCAGTGATTGGGGAGAGCAGTTTAAGAATGCAAAAAGATTGCTCGCTGCAGAAGCTGACAAGTTAGAAAACAGCATCGATCCAGAGTGGTTGGAAGTGGATATTCCTAAGCCTATAAAAGTTTCTAAAAAAGTTTGTTTTACTTGATATTGACTGACTTAATAGCTTTAGCTAAGCGTTGGTTTTGCTTATGAGAATTTTCTTAAGAATTTGTGTTCTGATGCTGAAATGAAACTTTTTTCCAGGTGCTAATACCGAGTTTTCGACATCCGCACTTCAATTTTGTAGGAAAAATTTTGGGGCCGAAGGGAGCAACATTGCAAGCAATGGCTAAACAGCACAAGTGTCATATATATGTATTAGGTCGTGGTTCAACAAAAGATCGGAATAAGGTTTAAATTAGCGACAACAAAGATTATTTTTACTCTTTGGTTTTTATTGTCACAATGGAAAAAATTGGGGGTTTTAATTGCCATAGCGCAGTTATTGCTTTTTAGGAACAAGAACTGTTAAGCAGTGGTGATCCGCAATACGCTCATTATGGCGGTCCTTTGCATGTGAAAGTGGAAACTATAGCTCCAGCTCATGTTGCCTATCAGAGAATTGCTGGTGTGCTCGAGCAGCTGGCCACAACATTGCAGCCTGTATCTTTTATTTTGTATTTTTCACTAACTTTCGTTGCATTCCGAGAAACTTGATGCATTTGATTCTGCCTTGTAAAAGAAGTATTTTAGACGCGAGACGAAAACTATGAGAAAATGGCAGCTAACCAACAGAATGCAAATAGTGGTGAAAATAATGAAAAAGGTTTACTTTTACCTACATCTGAAAGGCTTTTTTACCGAATGTTCACTGAGAAGAATTTCTTTTAGAAACACAAGATAATGCGGAAGGCGATAAAAATGCGCAAGCTGGAGGTGCCATTCGAGGCGGACGTGGTGGCTTTCGTGGGCGTGGGGGATTTGCAGGTCGTGGTACTGAACGAGGTGGTTTTCAGCGAGGTGGTTTCAGGGGTGGTCGAGGAGGTGATCGTGGAGGGTAAGTGTTTGCTTTCCAGAAGTGCTGTTTGCGCTGCAAGTTTTTGATAACCTAGGTTTCTCTAGGGTAGAGGTACCTTGTAGCAAAGATAAAGCCAGACGAAATTCCACTCCATTTTTGAATTAGAAAATTTGAGAAGGTTATTCAGCTTTCTTGTTAAACACATCACAAAGTCTGTTCTGCACTTGAGGTGCCTCTGAAAATAAGAAATATTGACCGAGACTTGTTAGCAGATCCCAGTAGTTCAGTCCTTTGTCTCTTGAGACGCTTATTCTGGCTTCTTTTCTGAACCGATATTACAGTTTTAATAAGACAGATTTAATACATTCAATTCGAAGAGGTCTTTTGAAGTAAGAAATCAAACATTTCAAGGGTTAAGCTGTTTGACAGTTTTAATGAAGACGTGTGGTTTGAAACTTTCAAATGACCTAAAATAATTTTGATACTAAGCTGTTTGGAAGTAGAATTACATTACCTTGTGTTTTTATATGTTTAGTTGCTTTTATGAGTGGAATAAGCGGAATGTTTTAGTATTTAATGAATTGGATGGGCACTTTAGTTGGATTTCTTTGGTAAAGTTGTTTCGTTTTCAGCTTCCGGCCCTATTAGAATTTGCACGTGTTCTATGTGTGTTCTTTTCTCTGCTCTGGTTGAACATTTTGTTTCTTTATGCTTCATTATTGGTCTAGCACTTAAAGAAAGTGTTGATGTTATTTTTCCTACTTCTACTACATTTCTGGCTATTTATTTATTACAATTTATTCATATTTCACCTGTGTCATCGAAATTTGGGTCGATTTATCTTGGTCGGCTGCTGTGCTTGTAATGATTTTTTTTGGTGAGTTTTCTGCTAACTTCAAGATTTTTTCGTTTTCAGGTAAGCATTTTTAATGTCAAGATCAGGTTGTAGGTTTCTTTTATTTTTTTCTTTTTTCTTTTTTTTTTTTTTTTAATTAAAATTACGATTTTTTTAAAATAAATTATTATTGAATTATACAACGATATAAAGAATTAGGCTTAAGCCGTAGGGTTAGATTTTTAGGACCGTAGGAGGTAAGTCGGGCGATGCTGTGCCTCTGACATAAGTCGACTGTAAATACACTCGATCAGCTTTTGTAGTTTTTTTTGAGACTGCGCGTGTGCCTAAGCAGCTCTTGTTCCTGCAACATTCTATAATACTTGCTTGAACTTCGAAGCACTGATGTCAGCAGTTTGATTTTTGTTCCATTGGGTTACGGGGAGGCTCAGCATCGCTCCTGGTAATTAGGCTTTAAATATCAATTCTGTTTTCAGGTACATCGAGCAACTCAATTTAAAACTTTATATTTAAAAATGGCAATTCTTCAATTGAAATCTAAAAAGAAAGATGAATGTAATTTATCGATGGCCTCGATTGCATCTCGTTACGTTATAAGATAGAGTAAATTGAACTCAATACGTTAATGTTTGAATCGTTTTACTGTTAGGCTTAATGAATTGCTTTAAAATGTTAGCGTTGCGGGTGACGTTGTTCTTTAATTATTGAAATTAACAATTTAGGATGAGTGTTAATTAAATGTTTAAAGTGCATCCGCAATTAATTTTCTAAATTTTGCCTAATATGCTTACATGTTCATGTTTCTTCAATTTTAGCCAACTTCAAAAATGTTAATGTTATGTGACTTAAATAATAAATAAACATCAGATGATAGCTGATTACACTTATCAATATATGTTTGAATGCAATACAGAAACTAAAATTTTTGTGGCCGTTCTTGAATCTTTTATCTAACTTCTTCTTTTGTACCATTTCCCTTCTGTAAAAACTAAACTAATTTTGACCATGGAAGATGGCTTGGTATTTTTTACTACTTGAAGATCACAACACTGTATTAGGATTGCGCTTAAATCTTAAAACAAAAATCTAATGTTAGCAACAACTTTTATCGTTCATTTGCCCTTATCTTTTCTTTTCGTTGGCCAACATACAAATTTCACGAAGATGATTAATGGATGTAGTTACTTGAATTACTTGACACTCTGCGGCCCACTATTTTCGTGGGTAGCGCTTCAGAAATGAGTTGAAAGGGCTGAAGTACTGATGTACTGCTGCTTAAATATAAAAAGAAAATATAAAAAGAGAATAAACACCAAAAAATGTAAATTGATCGTAACCTTGGTCGTATTTTTTAGATCCCTGGTCCGCTCAAGCGTTGTGGTGAAACCTTTGCAGGATTGAACGTATGTTTTTCGAAGTAATTATTATCTTGTAGAAGTCCATCTGATAGTTTCCGCTTAATTGTTGCGGCTGTACGCATTTAATTATGGCGGGGGGACGTTGAAGATTTTAATAGAATCATTAGAATGAATAGCCGGATTCCATTCGTAGGGAGTAGAGTCGGTCCCGAAAGTATTGGTAGTTTTCATCTCAAGCGTTGACGATGACTTAAGGGTAGAGGTCATAATTTCTGTTTACTCTACTGGCATTGAAGGCAATTTGATGGTTTCTGGGATAGCGTGTTGTTGGTTTCTTGCACTTATTTGGGATCCTGGTTAGCATTTCTAGATACTTCGTTTAGGTTTATTATTCGCGTTTAACCCGGATTGATGCATCTAGTCCGCTGTCACGACTGCGAACCCTATTACTTTACTCAATCAATGACTAATTTTTTGAAAGCTTCCATACTTCCGAGTAAACGACTGATGGAGTGCCTGACTTCCTATGTTTTCTCGCTATATTTTGTTGTCTCTTACTAAGGAATAGTTTGTTCCATGTTTACTCCATGAACGAAGAATGTTTATTTTAACTTGGGGTATTAAATTTCCTTTTTTTTTAGTTTTTTAATGTGACTTTGGTTGTCTTCTTTTTTAATTCCTTGATCAGCTGACGATTTTGTTTTTCGATGCGATTTTTATTGTCGGATTACTTGGGGATTGATTTTGGGGGACAATTGATACGACTGCTGAAGAGACCTGAATTCTGTGGTCTTCCAGCTTTATTCCGTGTTTCTTGGTTGACTGCTCAATGATTGTTTTTTTACATCAAAGTTTTATGTTAGTCTGCCTCTTTTGAGGATATGGTGTTCTTGACTTTTGTCTGCTATCTTTGTACATATCACACGTCACTTTCAGGTCATTCTTCATTAATTATTGGCTTGCTTTAGTTGCAGCGATCTCTTGTAAGTGATCTTTTTTTGTGATACGGGTTGTTGGAGTTCTGTAAGATTGTGTTTTCTGGTTCATGAGTTCGGACGTCAGTATAAAAGGTTTATTTATAATTACAATCAATACTTTGTACTGAGCTACTTCATTCTCTCGTCCTCGATCGTCTTCTCAGCCAAGCTTTGCGAAATGTTTATCTAATAGGATTTGAATACGGAGGGAAATGTTTTTCTTATTTTTTTTTTTGGATAGTTGTTGCTATACCTTGATATTTAAACCTCAAAATTTGTCGTTACAGTTTGATATTACATGGTTGCCTGATTTTGTTTTTGAGTTATTAGTTTCATTTACTGTTCCCATTGCGGTGTCGATTCTGAGTTTTCAAAATGGACATTTTAACAATCATTGCTTAAGTTTTCTTCAAGGGTATTTCACCAAAGGGCATTTCTTAACTAATGGAGGCAACTTAGTTTTTAAGTTTGTAAAACTAAATTTTTATCTC